TATCTGTCCTGGATTCCTTGTTTCCAGCTCTGATCTGTACCCATGAACATGCTCTTGTCTAGCCGGATTTGTAAGGTAGAATTGGGGTCGTAATAAGGAGGGGGTGGAGGAAGCATTAAAGAACTAGAGGAAAGTTGTATGTTTCATCGGTGCTCTACTGCACCCTGACTGGCTCATCTCTTCCTTGTGTTAGGGAATGTCCAATTGTCTACAGATGGGTTTGGGTCTGCACTCCACACTCCCCTCATTCACATTGATATGATTTTTTATTCTGGGTCTTTGATGCCTGATACCTGATCTATGTATTATGTCTTGTGAGTCTTCCTAGTGAGTAATAAAACTTAAGGGTGGTCTTGGAACCCCACCCACAACAATAATATTTATAAGACCTTTAGTTATAATAGCCTAAAACAGCTGAATGGATAAATAAATTTTGATACATTCATACAGTGGAGTGCTTTACAGCAATGAAAATGAATAAATTGAATATATTACAGTATAGATGAATGTCATAGACATAATGCTGTATGAAAGAAAACATATTTTTAAAAGTACATTTTCTATTAATCTGTTAATGTAAAGCTAAACAATGGGAAGCTCTTACTGTTTATTGTAATCTGACAGTAAGTTAATTTTGAGAGATTGGGAAGATTATTAACTAGGAAGGAGAACATGAGATGTAACTATAGTGCTAGTAATGTTCCATATCTTGATTTTGTTTGTGTGTTCATCAGGTAAACATTCACCCACTGTTATATTACAAAAAAATTATTAAAAGAGAGAAAGGGATAAGTCAGTAGTTCTGTTAGTACTGATATAAAAAGATATCCAAGATGTACTGTTGGTAGAAAACAACTTTTAGAGAAATGTGTATAATGCCATGTAATAAAAAGAAAACAAACAAGCAAAAACAACGCTGTTCCTCTGCTGAGTGGATTTTACTACCAGGGTTAAAAGTTCCACAAAATACCCTGTCAGACAAAAGAAATTTCAAAATATTTTCATCGAATTGAATAGAATTTGCTGTGCAATTGGAGAAGCTCTCTGAAACAATTCACTCTGCCACTTTTCAGCAAAATGGTAGCTGATCTGAGGTGAACTTTCAGTGCTGTTGATGCGTAATTTACTTTAATGAGTTTCATATTCATTATAGCTTTGGGACTTTAGTGAAATGTGGTACAAATATACCGGCTATTTAATTTTATCCTTCAGAGAACTATTAATTGTATGTGCATGATTTAATATCCAGACGATGTGGCCTTTTTAAAGATTACAATAGGTATCTGAAGTAATACTTTTGCAGCCCAGAATAGGTTTTAAATTATATATTCAGGTTGAACGAACTTCAGAAAAATACTCTGAGCACAGCTTCCTCCACAGATTTCAATGATAAGATCATTTCTTTGCCCATCCTTCGCTCTTTTTTCTTTCCCAAATCGCCTCTTTGAGATACAGTTCCAGGTACAATGTATCCTCCTCGTATTTTGTCCACTGCTCTTTTGGCAAGATCTGTTGCCTGATGGACAGGTCCAAGGGTGTCTTAATGCGAAACAGCTGGTGACGCTAAAGGTTTTCAGGAAGTAGTTTTATGACTCTTTTGATATTTTCATTCTCGTGTATTGTGTCATCTCACATTAACCCGAGGTCACTGAACCCCACAGCACTGTAGTACCATATGTGTAATGGCATCTCGTCACCGGCCTGGGGCCGCAGTGGTAGACCTGCTCACCCTTTTGACCCAAGAGCAAGCCTGATGTGGCTTCTTTATAGGAGTATAAAGTTATTTACTTACTGAGTTATAGAAGTCTCAGTGCTTACTGTTGCCATGCACAGCACATGATCACGGATTGTGAGACATAGAACATAGTTCATTCAGTCAATGAGTGTGAACTAAAACAAAAAGACGTTTGACAATTTGATTTGTACACTATCATTGCCTTGATTGTTTCTCAATTCTGTCTTAGGGTGCAACAGTAAAATGAAGCTCAGCGGACGACCCTACAGACATATGGGAGTCCTTGGAACTTCAAAACTATATGACATTCGAAAAACTATCTTTACTTTCACTCCACAGGTGGGTGTACTGAACTGCAAAGTTCACTGAGATGAATGGAAAGGAAATAGAAATAGTGCAGAAATAAAGCATGTACTGGAATTGGGACAAGTATTAAGGAGGTCTTGTACAAAGTGTTAAGTTACTCAGTATGTATTTGTTGAGTGGAACTGAATTGAATTTGCAGGGTAGAGCTATGACAAGTCCTGGATATTGCAAAAACATTATTTAGGGACTTTTACAAATGTTGGAATGTTTGTAAAATTATTCTTTACTTTTAAAATGTAAAAATAAGATAACTTGTTTTGTGTAAATAGAAAATATTTTCCCCCAACTATGGAGTTTTATGTTTTTTGAGTTAGATGGTTCTTTTTACATACATGGAAATCCTTGATTATCATCTTAAAACCCAAAATGTCAATATGCTTTAGGCATCGTTACCCTAGTGTGTACTAGCCAAAGCCTGGTTGTAATTAAGTGCCAACAAGTGGGTTCAGACTTACAGCAATCTCTGTACAACAGAACGAAACTCAGCCTGGTAATGGGCACAATCCTTATAGTTCCCTCTGTGTTTGAGCCTATTGTTGCAACCACTCAATGTCAGTGTCTCATTGAGGGACATCCTCTTCTTTGCTGACTCTACCAAGGATAATGCCCTTCTCCATTGGCTGTTCCCTCCTGACAAAGGTATGTGGGACTAAGTCCCATCATCCTTGCTTCTAAGAAACATTTTGGCTGTACTTCTTTCAAGACATACTTGTTCGTTTTCTGACAGTCCAGGGTGGATTTCCATATTCTTTGTCAACACACTAATTCAAAGGCATCAATTCTTCTCCAATCTTCCTCATTCATCGTCCAGCTTTTGCATGCATATGAGGCAATTGAAAATATGTTGGCTTCGGTCAGGCATGCCTTAGTCATCAGTGTGACAGCTTTGCTATATAACATTATTAAAAAGTTGTTTTCATTGGATTTATTAAATGCAATACATGGGGGATTCAAAAAATGACAAATTTCCACCAACTTTTGAAGTTCCTTCACAGGTCCATTGATCTCTTGACTGCTATTTCCATGGATTTGATTGTGGATCCAAGGAAAATGAAATTCACGACTTTAGCCTTTTCTCCGTTTATTGTGATGTTGCTTCTTGTCAATCCATGTTTTTGAGGGCCTTCCTCTTTATCGCTGCCCCTCTCCTTTACCAAACATGATGTCCCAGGGACTGGTCTCTCTTGAACATAAGATGAAATCTCAGCATCCTTCCTTCTTTTAACACAGATCGGTTTGTCCTTTGAGCAGTACCTGGTACTTTCAATGTTCTTCTCCAGCACAATGGAAATGCATCAGTTCTCCTTCAGTCTTCTTTCTCTATTGTCCAGCTTTCACCTGCATATGAGGCACTTGAAGACACCAGGGCTTGAATAAGGTGCACCGTAGTCCTCAAGGTAACAGCTTTGCCTTTCGGTGCTCTTAGGAGCTCTTAGGCAACAGATTTGCCTAATGCAACTTGTCTTTTGACCTTTTGACTGCTGCTTCCATGAGCATGGGTTGATTATGGATCCAAGTAAGATGCAATCCTTGATAACTTCAACCTTTTCTCCATTTATCATGTTCCCTATTGGTCTAATTGTGAGGAGTTTCTCCTTCTTGACATGTAGTTTTAATCCATACTGGAGGCTGCTATCCTTGGACTTCATCATCAAATGCTTCAAGTCTTCCTCACTTTCAGCAAGAAAGTTTGTGTTATCTGTATAATGTAGATTGTTGATTAGCCTTCATCCATTACTGATGCCACATTCTTCTTCAGATAAGTCACCTTCTCGGATGATTTGCTCAGCACAGAGACTGAGTAAGTATGGTGAGAGCATACGACCCTGACCCACACCTGACCTGATTTTAAACATGCAGTAGGCCCTTGTTCCCACAACTGCCTCTTGACCCAGGTACACGTTTCTCATGAGCACAATGCAGTGTTCTGGAAGTCCGATTCTTCTCAAGGCTATTCATAGTTGGTGATGCTCCACACAGTCGAATGTCTTTGCACAGTCAATGAAACACAAGGAAACATCTTTCTGGTATCCTCTGCTTTGAGTCAAAATCCATCTGACAGCAGCAATGATATCTCTTGTTCCACATCCTCTTCTGCATTGGGCCCCAACCTCTGGCAGTTCCCCCTTAATGTGCTGCTACAACCATTGTTGGGTGATGTAAAGCAACGTTTTACTGGAATGTGATATCAGTGATATTGTTCTATGGTTTGATCATTAGGTTGGGTCCCCTTTCTTTGGAATGAGTACAAATATGGATCTCTTCCATTCGGTTGGCCAAGTAGCTGTCTTTCAAATTTCCTGGCAAAGACGAGTAAACGATTCATCAACTTTGTGAAACATTTCAATTCCTGGAGCCTTATTTTTGGCAAATGTTTTCAGTGCAGCTTGAACTTCTTCCTTCAGCACCATTGGTTCTTGCTCATATGCTTCTTCCTGAAATGGTGGAACGTTGACTAGTTGTTTGTGGTACAGTGACTCTGTGCATTCTTCCATCTTCTTTGGATGCTTCCTACATCATTCGATAGTTTGCCCATAGAATCTTTCAAAATTGCAACTTGAGGTTTGAATTTTTCTTGAGTTTTTTCAGTTTCAGATATGCTGAGGATGGTATTTTTCAGTTTTCAAATTCTAGGTCTTTGTACATTTCATTATAATGTTAGAATTTGCCTTCTTGAGATGCCCTTTGAAATGTTCTACTCAGCTCTTTGACTTCATCATTTCTTCCATGTGCTTTATTTACTTTACAATTCAGAGCAAGTTTCAAAGTCTCTTATGTCATCCACTTTGATCTTTTCTTTGTTTCCTGTCTTTTTTGTTTTGTTTCCTGACTTTTTAATGACCTTTTACTTTCTTCATGTATGATGTTCTTGATGTCCTCCCACCGCTCATCAGGCCTTCTGTCATTAGTTTCCTTTATTTCTTTTGCTAGATATTTGAAATGCACCCTTATTCTGGTTCTACATGGAAAGGCATGGGAATGACAGCTAACAAACAAATCGTCACACTGATTATTGTGATGTGACTACAGCAGTCTTGTATTTGAATTTCAAGAAAGAAAATGCATTTCTTTTTTTAAAAATCATTTTATTGGGGGCTTGTACACCTCTTATCACAATCCATACATATATCCATTGTGTCAAGCACATTTGTACATTTCTTGCCCTCATCATTCTCAAAACATTTGCTTTCCACTTGAGCCCTTGGTATCAGCTGAAAAATGCATTTTAAAACAGCAAGATATGCAGGTCCAAAAAAAAAAAAAGGTTTTAACTGCCACACTCACTCTAAAACCCATTCATCAACTTCAGCATCCCAAAGATGAGCATGTTCGACTGAGTTATATAATAAGAGTGGCAAACACGCTGCACCACTGACATCACAGGAGAGTTGCCTATCAAATGAGACTTCTGGGCTCCAGCTTCCTTCCCTCACAAGACATCATCCTCATCTGGGAGAGCAGTGTTTTGCACAACCTCTGAATCATGCTCATATTGTGCAACAACCTCGTGAGGCAAGAGCAGGCCTGACAACAAAATGCAAGTCAGGATCTGCGAATAGTTTTCTAGCAAACCAAAAGAAGGATTGTTCAAAGTTGTAGTTACTTTTGACAAAAGTGTCATAGTACTGAAGGTTCTTCTTTCAGTGGAAGACCATGGACTTTGCCTAAACCTTCCTTTGTTGCCACACAGCACAATGGGTATATTTGCACATTTTCGAACCAGATCCCTATGCCAGTTAGGCACATTCTTGTAGCACTTGGGTTTACGTCGAACATTATAATGTCACACTGGGCTTGGATATAATAGCCATCTCTCAGTCCTCCAATTTTTTTTCTTGACCAGCCGTATCCCACACGTTGAATTTAATCGGTCCTCTGTTAGAATGGAACACAAGGGGATGGACCTCATTGCCTAAGGTGGTTAAATACTTCTTAAGTTCACCAGTCACAGGACGTTTCACAAACGTCATTTTTCCAGTGCCACTATCACCGAGCAGTATGAAGTTGAAATGGATTTGGGGTTCTCCTTGGGCTGCCATCCTGATGGATCTTCCAGAAGTGTCACCAGGCCATCTGCCTGAGAGCTTCTGGCATTAGTTTTCATTATAGCAAGTCTATTCTTGAGATGTTCTTGAAATTCAGATGGGATAGAATCAAGGTCATATTTTGGCTCTCATGGATTTGTTTTCATTTTCTTCAGCTTTATCACATGGGGAAATCATCAAATAACTGCCACAATACATCAATGCTTAACTACCAAACCACTGAGAATCATGTCTTATCCAAATTGACGCATATTTTGGGTTGGATACAAATCAACAGGACCAATACTTTACTTTGTCTTCTTGAGCTACTCTTTGAAATCTTCTATACATCTCTTTTATTTCATCATTTCTTCCCTTCAATTTAGCTCATCTACACCCAAGAGCAAGTTTCAGAGACTCTCCAGTGATGCATTTTGTTTTCTGTCTTTTAACTACCTTTTTTTCTTCACTCATGGTGTCCTTGGTGTCATTAATCCATCTAGTATTCTGCCCACACACACTTCATTCGCAATTTAAAACACTTAACAAACAAAAGAAAGAAAGAAAGAAAAATATACAGGGATAGAACCCTCTTCCAAATCCTATAGATCCTCAACCTAAAAAAAATTAAATTAATTATTTCTGTTCTTACAATGGTCTCTAAATTCAGATTGTATGCTCAAGGTTTTATTTTGGCTTTTGTGGATACAGGAAAATATTATACTATATTATATGTATATGTGGGGATGGAGAAATTCTTTTCTTGAGACTTGTCATCTCATATGTGAAATAATACCACTGAGGTATACTCAAAGGAACATATATTGCCATTCCTGACTCTGCTATGTGAGTTTGCTGGTCCATGTAATTTCTCTCGCCCCTAGTTTTCATCTGCTATATGAAGAAATACCCTCACTGGGTTGTTATAAACATAAATGAAATTGTGTACTTGAAAATGTTTTGTAAGTTGTAGCTCATTGTAAAAATGTGAGAACTTGTATTACAGTCATTCCTCATTCTCTGCAGGGGATTGATTCCAGAACTCTGATTGATACCAAAATCCATGATGCCAAAGTCCTTTGTATAAAATGACATAGTGTTTGCATGTCACCTACACGTATCCTCCAATACACTTTAAATCATCACTAGATTACTTATACTATCTAATATGTGTTAGTCTGGGTGTACTAGAGAAACAAATTCATTGACATGCATATATGTGCAAGAGAGAATTTTATATCAAGAAGTAATTATGCCTCAATAAAACATCCCAGCCTAATCCAGATCAAATCAATAAGTTCGATATTAGCCCATAGGTCCTATATTAGCCCATGAATTCCTCTTCAGACTCACACAGCACATGCAATGATGCCAAATGCAGGGAGATCACAGGCCGGTGGATGAAAAGTCCTGTGGATCTAATGGCAGTGGACTCATCTCTAGGGTTCTGGCTGCCATCAGTGTGGCTCCATGTGGATTGTCAAGAGGAATGCATAGCAGCGAGAGAGTGTATCCTGCCTCCAGGGAGGAAAAGAGGAAGTCCCAGGATCCTCATGAAAAGGCCATGCCCACAAGGAGGGATCACCAGGCTGTGACCTGATTGACAGACTAGACTCCACCCCTTCATTCTTTTATCAAGTTGACATTAAAATGTGTAACCACCACAGAAGGGGTTCAAAGAGTTCCATGAAAAATCTAATTTAAAAATCATGGATATTTTTTCTGAGAACTTTTTGAAGCCCCCTCATACAATAAAATGCTATATAAATATCACTTTATGCTCCCTCTTTGTTTTGGTGCTTTGACTACTCAATTGCTTCCCCCAAATATTTTAAACCCATGGTTGGTTAAGTCCATACATATGGGACCCATGAATATACAAAACTAATTATACATGTACCTATTAACTACTAGATACAATGGGAAATATTAGATTTTAAATTGGGGTGCATTGTCTCTGTGATATCATGCATGACCCTGAGAATATGTGACAATTTAAAATATAATTTTATAGTTATGAGAATGCGTTAATCAGAGTTGCTATATTTCTTTTTTACAGTTCATAGATCAGCAACAGTTCTACTTGGCTCTGGACAACAAGATGATAGTAGAAATGCTTAGAACAGACCTCTCCTACATTTGTAGCCGTTGGAGGATGACGGGGCAGCCTACCATCACCTTTCCCGTCTCACACACCATGCTTGGTAAGTGCTGTGTGAGGCAAAAAAGCAAATGCATTTTTTAAGTAAAACGTGTTTAGTGCTTCAAATACTTATGGTCAATAGAGAGCTACTTCTTATCATATATTCTTTCAATATTTTTTATTAGCTCATATTTTGTGCCAGCCACTTTTCTAATTACTAGAAATAGGAGGATCAATAAATAAGGTGAGATTTCTGCTCTTGTAAAGTTTATATTTTAGAAGAAAAAGGCAAACAAAAATATGTATCAAATAAATGAATATACAAGGATATTTCAGAGTTCTGTGATTCAAAAATTGTAGCTCCATAACTTTGTTGGGAACTACTTTAGTATTTATTTTCAAGGTCGGTTTGTAAAACTTTAGTAATGTAATTCCTTGATAAGACAATAATGCAACATTCTTCATCTGTCTTATTTACTATACTGGAACATCAAGGTTTTATAAGGTCACAATCTTTATCTAAGGCCTACTCATCTGAATCAGTAAAATTTGGCAGTGGAAAGGGTTTTTTTTTTGTTTATCTTTCCCTTTTTGGAAGGACTTCTTGATGTCTTATACATAAAGATTTTTCCAGAAGTTTACAATCATCAAAAGTTTTTAACAAGGAAGTGATGAAAGCGATGTTTAGGGGCTATTGTTGTGATGATAATATGCACTATAGGAAAGAGAGACTTATGCTAAGGACACTAATATTGGTATAAGGATATGAGATGATACAATGGATTGGTGGTTGCAAAAATAAAATTAAACAAAAGGATATGAGAATCATTTTAAATAACATCTAAGTCAGATATTGACTAACTTCGTTATAAGGAATGAATGGGGATAAGTTCAAGACTTAGAGACTAGGTGCTGCCATTAGTAAATGCAGAAAAATTCTATGAGAAGGTGCCATTTTTAAAGGGATGTGTTGAATTTGTGGTGACAAGGAGATTAAATTTTAAATATCTAATAGTTGGTAAAGTAGAGGGACAGAGAAAAAGAGGAAGATCCTAGACAAGATAGATTGACTCTGTAGCTGCAGCAATTAGCTGAAACACAAGAATCATTGTGAGCATGGTACGGGATCAGATGGTGCTCCGGTCTGTCACACATAGGATCATTATGAATTGAAATCTACTCAACAACACTTAACAGCAACAATAATAGTAACTCTGAGATGTACAACCACCGCTTAGAAAGTAGACTAAAGCAAAAGGTCTACATTTAAATCATGCAGTTTGATACTTGAGATGTGAACACGGGACAAAACAATAGCCACCATGACAGTAATAACTACAGCATTTACTGAGTACTTTTTCAAAACCAGTACTTTCAGCGTATTATTTTAAGACATCTATAAGAAGCCCATTCAGCTAGTTACTATTAATAGACACATTTTATAAGGAGGAAGCTGATTTGTTCAGAGTCCCAAAGCTAGTGAGTGACAGAGCTAGGCCTCAAATCAGTCAGTTTCCAAAGTCAACATTATCAACAAACGGGGTTTGCCAGCCAAAATTTTGTGCTAGTGAAATGAGGAAAAACATCAGTTATTGCAATAAAATATGAATTCTTTAAATTCTTATATTAAAGATAGAGGTTTCTAGAATATGTAAAAGTACAAGATCCAGTGAAGTGTTATTCACAAACATATTCTTAAAATTGTTTAAAGAGATGGAAAAGAAATTATTATGCAAACATATGTAAATGCTCACAAAAAAGAAAGTGGTAGCAATATTAATATCAAAAATAGTTGAGCTCAGGGAGAAAAGGAGTGAGATGAAAAGCATATTTTATATTGATAAAAGTATAGTGTACCTAGATAATCTAACATTTGTGAACTTTTATCTCCTGAATAATGTCTGTGAAATGTACAAAATAAAAAATTTAGGAAAACCCCAAGTACAGAAGCAATATGATAAAATTAAGGTATATTCATAGCAGGCAACTGGGCAACTATAACATGCCTGTATCGGAATGTCACAGACCCATTTTACCAAAAAAAATGTGTTTATGGGTGTACATCTAACACTGCACCCCAAATATGTTGTTGTACTTAAGGTTTTGTGTCAACTTGACTAGACCAGGATGCTCAGTGACTTGGTAGTCAACACCTAGCAATCCCCCGTGACTTGACCTAATACAATGTAAGCACAGCTTCATAATGGGATATGATTAGGGTGGAATGCAACATCCTTACTCAAGCCACACCTCTGATGCAATTAATTGTCTTGAGGCTGTAGCCTGCTTCCAGTACGAACGAATGATTGTTTTTTGCTGTGCCTATCATCTGCATCTGACTCAACCACCTCCAAGGCTTTGAATTTGCACCAATGGCCAGCCATATTGCCTGCTTATCCTGGGAATCATCAGTGGCCTATCATCTGGCCTGGAAAAATTGGTTCTATTCACTTCTGCAGCTACAACTCTGACCTGCTAAACTTGAATTAATTCACTTCTGCATCTACAGATCTGACATGCTGACCTTGGATTAATTACAGTACCATAGTGGCTACATGTTGAATTGATAACCCGAAGGACAGCAATTGGAAACCACCAGCTGCTCCTTGGGAAACTTTCTATTTCCATAAAGAGTTGCAGTCTCAGAAACCCACAGGGGCAGTTCTACCCAATCCTATAGGGTCACTATGAGTTGGAATCAACTTACGGGCAATAAGTTTTTGGTTTCTTTGGGATATTTTGGTAGACGCCAGCCTATTGCCTTCCTGTAGATTTTGTGTTCATCATCTATGAGAAGAGACAATTAACAGATGCCAACACCAAGATGACAAAGATAATGGAATTATCTGACTTTAAGGAATCCATCATAAAAAATACTTCAACAAGAAATTACAATCATACTTGAACCATATAAATATTATAGAAAGTTTCAGCAAACAAATAAAAGATATAAATAAGAAACGGAAATTTTAGAACTAAAAAATACAATAACTGACATGAAAAGCTCACTAGTTAGGTTCAACTGCAGAATGAAGATGACAGAGTAAACTTAAAAATATAAAATAGAAATTACCCAATCTGAACAATAGAGAGTAAAAATTGATTTAAAAAATAAGAATAAATCTTAAGATACTTGTGAAACTAATAAATAACCAAACATTAATGTTATAGAAGACTAGGAGAGGAGAAAGAGTAAATGGCTAGAAAAATATCCCAAGAAATAATGGTTGAAAAGTTGTCAAACCACACAAACCTGCAGATTCAAGAAGTTGAGCAATGGAACAGCCAATACACAGAGAGGACCATAGGGCCAGCCTCATCATGAAACACAACATCCCTCAATGACCCATAGCGCTACAGGGGACAACACTAGGGACACAGTGTAGGAATTGTGCCTGATCTGACTCCACCACACTGTGGCAAAACATTAAGGGCAAACAATAGAGCAGCAAGGGGATCGAAGCAATGAAGTCTCCAAGGAATACCAAAAATAG